ATTCTCCAATCCAGATTTTCAACAACGCAGAACCCCATTAATTTTGTTGCAATTTGCAGTAACTATTTTTTGGATGACCTTTTTGTTGATGAAAGTTCCACAATTCCAGCAAGAAGAGGTGGAATGAAAATGGTTAATGAAATATACATAATCCCAAAAAATCGTGAAGAAATGCTATCCTTCCCGAAAAAAAAAGAAAAAATTTAAGCCAAAATACCCTGCATCAAAGGAAAAACAACTAATTCTTTTGATTCGAATTACCCTTGATTATTTACCCATGAATGAGAACAGCTATAAAATTTTTGAATGAGTTGATATATACCAAAATGTTTGTTTTGTTTCGTTTTCTTTGCCGAAATGCAGGTTTGTATTTTTTTTGTGCGATCAATTGCAAGAGCAGTAACTTTGCGTTGCCAAAGCTGGATTGTTGAATAATATCCAGGAATAGTTGATATAGCTCATTACCTAGGCAGCTCTAAAGAGTTTGAAGCGCAGTTAGACGCTACACAAACCAGAAAAACTCAAACCTAAAAAAACAAGCTAAAAAGAAACTAAAAATATAAAAAGAACAACAAAGCCTAAAACGCCTTCAAAAAGTGCCCATTTCTACCAGTCACCCCAACACTACAACTAAAAACATCAAAATCCTTCGAAGGCGTCGTCCGTGCTGGATACTCTTCTTATGATGAGACCCTCACCTGAAAAATGTGAGCGAATGGCTTGTTGAATTTACGTTAAAGAGCATATGGAGAAAGCTTACATTTTCCCTGGGCCGAACCGCTGACGAGGGGGATTCCCCCGCCGCCAAACAACCGCCCAGAACCAGCCCCTTGCCGAAGTGCTGCTTTCTGGGTAGCACTGTAGGGTGCCGTAAGAGCCATTTTAAAATGTTTTCATTATACTGAAAAAGTAAAAATGAGCAGCTAATCACCCAATGGGACCAAACATTGGTGGCAGCGAGTATCTGACCCTGGTTCTGAGCGATCGTTTCCTTTACTGCTTCCTTGACGTTCGTAGGACGTCGTGATTCAGGTGGATATCGGGAGGCGTCAGATGGTTGCCACAATTGATCACAAGGGGTTCCATTGTGGACGACACGGCCTATCTGAATCTGCTGCCGTAAGCAAAGGGGGTAAAGAGAACCAATCAGTGAGTAAGCATACCCCCGATCCCCGATCGGATCGCTCATGAAAGGATAGGCGACTGCATATTGCTGAGCAGTCGGGACGGCGACCTGAACTAAGTTCCTTATTCATGGAGAACTCAATCTTCCAAATTCTTCCATCCTCTTCTATTCCAGATAGTGAGATTGCATGCACGTGTAAAACCCTTTATTCCTAGTATTTTGAGCCCTCCGTTCTGACGTTTTCAGTTTGACTTCCTTTCCCATTAACTTCAATGCAGACCGACTCGCTCTCGACACTGCAGTTCTGAATTGCCAAAAAAAGACGAGGAAACCTCCACAATATCCCAAGCGATCAATTTGTTGTCAAGCGCAAACAAGGCCTCGAAAATGTTGTTTTCAATTTTTCCATTTTCCATTCCTTTCTTTTCAATTTCAGTTTTCACAAAACTTTTTCCCCTAAAGCAACTTCTTTCCAAAATCACCATAAAACCTATTAAGTCAAGTCCAACACACGCAAGATTCTAACACAAACGAGAGTTGAAAAAAAGTCTTTGACAGAAAGATCACTTACCAGGATTCCCGGCGGCTAATCCGTTTGATGGTCCCGTCAACTAACGTCCGTCATTTTCTTCCTCTTCTTCTTGATAGCGTTATCCCACTCAGTCGCAGGGCCCGTTGTTCATGCAGGTTGCAGCCACTTCTTCCATAAACGTACAGACCTCCCATATCGATTTTCTTCGGTGGTCGTTGGACAATAGAATTTTCCTTCTTCTCCTTCCATACGTATGTGTTGTCGGTCTGAACTGATCCTTCCCTTCCTGTAGTCTTCAATGTCTCCTTGGGTCTGTAGACGGAGGAACTCGCAAACGGGTTACACAGCTACTTGGGTATGTCGAAGAGCCATCTAGCGAAAGAACGGACCGGTTCAGATGGAGACGGTGTCGACCTGAATTGAGTGCAATAAAAAAGTTTTCATTATAGAGAGAGCGAGTCATGGCATACTTCTGATCCCCGCTCGGATCGCCTCACGACAGATCCGCCAAAAAAGGTCTGCCGAAAGAAGTAGACTTGTCTCCGTAGTCACTCATGTTTCCTGAAGACGGAAGGTTTGAACAAGGGTTCTCCTTCTTGCCCAATGTACTGGTTCCTGGTCATCACATGTGAAACGACTGCTGTCAGGACTACGCAGTCTGATCTACGAGGAAAACATTCCTACACAAAATGATCGAAACCATCGCTCACTTGGCACAAATTACAGTGCCATCGAGATTTGTGATCCAGTTCTTCTTCCTCGTCCTTCCCATGCCTTCTCATGACCCGGTGCGTACGAGTGTGTGCCGTTGCAGAGTTCGTTGGGTTAGGTGACTGTGAACCAGTTGTCTATTGATAGTGATCGCTCTCCCATCAATTGTACTCTGACCGTTTCAGACAGAACCGCACTCACCTCTGCAACATCAGCAAAAAAGCGAAAGAAACTGAGGTGAGCGCACTGCAAACAAATGGTCAAACTTGGCGAACTTCAACACATTCTCATCGATGGGTCACCCCTTCCGTACGTACGAGTCGCCCGAGCAGTTGGGCTCGCTATGTTGTCCATCGTTTGCAGTGCGCCCAGCATATGAGCCAAATTTCCACGAAATAGAACCGATGCCGCTCCCACACTTTCACATGGTCGATCATCTTCAACTATCCTCGAATTACCTAACAAAAGTATCAAGAATCTTATCAAGTATCCTTACTGCATATAAGACGCTCGCGTCTATCTGTCTGTCTGTTTGTTTGTTTGTTTGCACGGGAATTCATAACTCCTGTCCCCGTGGACCTAAAACGTTCAAATTTGGTAGAAGCGCAGGCGGCAGGATGGGAACACTTATGGTGGGTGACCGAACCGGACTCCGCCCACAGGGAGGCAGGGTTTGCGCGAATTAAATGTTGAAGCGCAAAAATCATAACTCCTGTCTCCGTGGACCTAGTCAAGAATAAAGTTTATTGCAAGTCAGTGTTTACAACTGAGACGGCGAAGAAACTTACCTTCCTGAATTGGAGAAGATAGATCGATATTGCAGCTCCTAATAGCCGTACCTATACGAATTCGCATGCCAAACACACTTTCATCAGGATGAAATCTATCGGGCGAGTAAACCTCATAAAAACGAAATGACTAATCTCCTTACCCCGACATCACTATAGAGAGAAGACCTCTAGTGGTTGTGCAGCACCTCGGCCTTGAAAACACAGGCCAAAACGATTACATGAATAGACACAGAAAGACCTCAACGAAAAACCAAAGTTCTTCATTTAGAAAAAAATAATGTGTGTAAAATTTACTATATTTTAAACTTTCAAATTGTGGATGTCTCTGTAGTTAAAGATCTTGGTTTTACAGTCACCCGCGAGCTACGTTTTGATGCTCACTGTCTTATCATTGTTGCTAAAGCTGATTCTCGGCTTTCCTTCTGCTCCATGCAATTTTTAGTGAGGATCCAGCCGTCTCAAAGCCTCAAAATGGATGTATGTGCGACCTTACTTGAATATGGGACTGTCATTTTTTCTCCGTCAAGAAGAAAATTATCCAGCCCTTCGAAAAGGTTCAAAACAGTTTCAATAGAAAAGTTCTTATAAGAGCACTTGGCCACACTTACAATAACATCACTCGTTCTATTGTAAGTCACAAAATGTTGAATCTAGACTCACTAAGTAAAAAGAGACTGATAAGCGATTCAAAATCGGTGCATGAAATTATTCTGGACACAATCTCATTCGATGCTTCCAAGTTGTTTACTTTAGACCCTCACAAACTAGAGGTGACTCAAACAAATTATACATAGAGCTGGCTCAGAGTATATTAAGTTGAGCAAAAAGACTAGTTGCTCACTTATTTTTTTCAAGGTGAGGCGAGAAATTTCTCAGTTCCTCAGGAAACACAGCTAGTTGTCACCTCAGTCTTTATTGTTGCGTTGTCACTAAAATCTGTGTAACTGGTATTCTCTACATATATGTTTTCTTATATGTTTATATATCTACTTGAGCTCCATTAGATGTTCATTAATGGTGTTATAGACTATTCATTTTGATGCGTTTTTTTGTTTTTGTTGTCTTTTTTCTTCACATGATCCGTAAGGACATTTAATAAAATTCAAATTCGACGAGACCGACCTACAGTCGTAGGCCGTCGGCTGATTTGCGGCCAGCCGCAGCCTAGATACTTCCGACGCCTGCCATTCACTGACT